ATAACTAATAATCACTAACATGCATAAAATGAATTACTAGTTCTGATCTTTAGCAGTCAAAAGCACACTGGTCTCTTTAGCCTCACAAAGGCAGCTTGACGTTAGTTATACTCAAGTTATATTTATCTATGAAGCCAAATGAATCAGAACAGTTGGTCAAACTTCAAGCATGTCTTAAAGACATAAAGGCCTGGATGACCTGCAACTTCTTACTTCTAAACTCTGACAAAACTAAAGTTATTGTATTTAGGCCAGAAAATGTCATAAATCTGCTGTGTAATCATCTAGTTACTCTAGATGACATAGTCTTTGCCTCCAGTACTACTGTGAGGAACCTTGGAGTCATTGTTGACCAGGATATGTCCTTTAAATCACACATAAACCAAGTCTCTAGAAATGCCTTCTTTCACATGCGCAATATTGCAAAAATGAGGAGCATGCTGTCTCAAAGTGATGCTGAAAAACTGGTCCATGCATTTGTTACTTCCAGGCTGGACTACTGTAACTCTTTACTATCAGGATGTCCCAATAGTTCCCTAAAAAGCCTCCAGTTAATCCAAAATGCTGCAGCCAGAGTACTGACAGGAACTAGCTAGAGAGATCATATCTTTCCCATATTAGCTTCTCTCCACTGGCTCCCTGTAAAATTCAGAATAGAATTTAAAATCCTTCTCCTAACATACAAAGCCCTTAATGAGAAAGCTCCATCATATCTTAAAGACCTCGTAGAGCCTTATCATCCTAACAGAGCACTTCGCTCTCAGAGTGCAGGTTTACTTGTGGTTCCTAGAGTCCACAGAAGCAGAATGGGAGGCAGAGTAGAGCTGTAATTGGGCCTGAAAAGTTAGGCCCGACAGGGCCCGAGCCCAACAGAATTCGTCCCGAGCCCGGCCCGAGCCTGACAAGTACATTTTTGATTGACAGCCCGAACCCGTTTATAGCCCGACATTATTCAAATGTGCGCACAGCGCGCGCACGCAGCTTGTTTTAAGAGAACGTTACATTTCTTGCATTTTACATACACTGGGTCATTGTTCTCATTATGCACATGTTCAAAATGTTACCACACCTCAAACTTAGCTGCTGCTGGTGTAACCAAAAAATATACGCCAGAGGCAAGCCTTTGTTTCACCTCATCCATCTTCGTTCTTCGCAATGCATCTTTCTCGCGCTAATTGAAACACATCACGTGACCACTCATTTAACGTGCGAGCCCAAGTCCGACCTGAGTAAAAATGATAGAAATTAAGCCTGACCCGTCGGGCACCCAATGGGTACCTGACGGTCGGGTCGGGTTCGGGCTAAGAATTACAGCTCTAAGGCAGAGCCTTTAGCTACGATGCTCCTCTCCTATGGAACCAACTCCCAGTCTCAGTTTGGGAGGCGGACACCTTCTCTACCTTTAAGAGCAGACCTAAACTTTCCTTTTTGATAAAGCTTATATTTAGGGCTGGATCAGGTGACCCTGAGCCTTCCCTTAGTTATGCTGCTATAGACCTAGGCTGCTGGGGGGCCCCATGATGCTCTCATGGTTTCTCTCCTCTCCTTCCTTCCCTCTCCTCTCCCTCTATGCTTCTATATGCCACCATTACACATCACTAACTATGTGTCTCCTCTCTCCCGTAGTGTGTCCTCTCTCTCCCTGTACCTTTCTGTAGGTTGCCCTGGCTCTGGAGCTCTACAACTCTGATGAGCAGTCACCGGCCAAATCAACCTGACCAGTGTTTGATTGTTGTGTCTTGTTACTTTTCTTCTTTTGTCTCTCCTCTATCCACTCACCCCAACCGGTCGAGGCAGAAGGCCGCCAACCAAGAGCCGGGGTCTGTCGGAGGTTTCTTCCATTAAAGGAAGTTTTTCCTCCCCACTGTCGCCAAGTGCTGCTCAAGGGGGATTTGTTGGGTTTTCCCTCTATAATAACAGTGATAACAGTAAGGTCTGGACTTTACTTTGTAAAGTGTCCTGAGATGACTTTTGTTGTGATTTGGCGCTATACAAATAAAATTTGATTGATTGATTGATTGATTGAAGTCCCAAATCCAGGTACAGGGACACCGAGGTCTGTCATCTTCCTAATCAGCCTTCCTGGGCGAATGGTGTTGAATGCAGAACTGTAATCCAGGAAGAGCATCCTAGCATATGTACTGCTGTTGTCCAGGTGTTTCAGGGTATAGAATAAAGCCAGAGCCGTCGCATTGTCCACTGATCTGTTGGGGTCTGTCTAAGGTTGCTTCCGGCGGTCATACACACAATTCAGTGCATGAGAGCTCCCTCTATTATGGTACCTTAAGCTGCAAATGGTCAGTTTTTTAACGTTGGTGCATGGAGAGGGGCACAGCTCCCACTTCCTGCCCACTGTCTTAAGTGCTGAATTTTCTACAGATCCTGGTAGAAAGAAACCTGTCTACTGTGTAAGCTATGCCACTGCCATCTCTTCATGCCATGAAGTTTTTTGGTAAACGAACTGTGTTTTTGCACACCCGATGGTGAAATGTTTTCTCAGTGACATAGGCAGACAAGGCCTGTGACACGTTCAGTAGCACCTCAGTGGGATTTACCTCTGGTTTACACGCGCTCAGGGAACCCTGCTTTGAGCCCATAACAGAAATCTCTCTCAAACATCTCTCTCTGGAAACAGCACTTCTCTTAGCCCTAACTTCAGCTAAGCGAGTGGGCCATCTGTGTGCATTGTCTGTCTCACCGGCGTGCCTTCTCATACACGAAGATGGCAGCTCAGCCGTTCTGGGACCGAATCCTGCCTATGCATCAAAATAATAACATCCTTTGTTCGATCCAGAGTCATTACCTGGATGGGTTCTTTCCTCTGCCCCACAGAGATGAGTCAGAGAAAGAACTTCATGCTCTCTGTCCGGCGCACGTACTGTCCCATTATGTGGTGCGCACGGCAGCTGTCAGACAGCCACAACTGTTTTGTTCATTGTAAGAGACATTCTCTTGGACAGCCTTTATCCAAACCACGGCTATCTCACTGGCTGTGTGAGGCTATCACACAGGCTTACATGTTAGCTGGGTGTGATCCCCCACCTGGCATCAGAGCCCACTCTACCAGGGCTATTGCATCCTCCACTGCCCTCTTTTAAGGCTTGATCGTGGAGGACACCCGCACGGCAGCGTCATGGGCCGTATCTTTTGACCCTATTCTACCTTCTGGACGTGTCTGAGTTTTTCCACTGGCTCACTCGGTCCTGAGTGTTCTACGCGACCGAGTGGCTTCCCTCTTCGCACAACCGCCACCAAGTGCTGATTCCACACGTGGTTTCTCGTTTGGGGGAT